CCTCAATCCCATCCCCGTCTCTCCCCAATGCAACCCAGTCCCATCCGAAGCCTTCCCCAGTGCCCCCAGTCCCTCCCAATTGCCCTCAATCCCATCCCAGTCTCAACCCCAGTGCTCCCATTAAAAATAAAATCAAAATGAATTCACGAAATATCTCACTCCCAGTGCCCTCCCAGTGTCACTCTCAGTGCCCCCAGTCCCCTCCCAGTGTCCTTCCAGTTCCCATACTGGTCACACTGGGAGGCTTCTGGGAAGGTCTCAAGCAGGAAGGGGGGAGGGAGGGGGTTCCAGGGGATATTTGGGGTCCCTCAGGGGTTGGGGGGGGGGTCACCTCTGACTCCCCCCCCGGATCTCTGACACCCCCCCTCCCCTCTCCCAGATCACCCAAGACCCTCTGGGACCCCCCGGGTTGGAGATTTATGGATGGGATTTGGATCACTCCCAATTTTTGCAAAATTAAGGAACAGGACACGGAGCTTTTCCAATTTGTGTGTCTGGGGGCTCAGGATCCCCCCCCCCCCTTCTCCTCCAAAATTAATGAAAGGCACCTGTGGAATTCCCAACTTCCCCCCCCCAAATCACAACAGAAATCCTGGGAATTCAACTCGAATAATATTTTCTTTATTTACACGTCGAAAGAATTCCAAAGGTCGGAAAAACAAGATGAAAACACAACTCTACAGGGGCTACAGAGGGGGGGGGCGGGAAAAAGTGGGGGAAAAAAGGTGGGAAAAGCTGGGAAAAAGGAGGGGGAAGGGGGGGGGAAACCCCGAAAAAACAAACGGAAAACGGAGTAGAAAAAAATTGTACATTTTTCCAACGTAAAAAACAGGCCCTTCCCCCTCCCCTCCCCCTCCGGAACATGCGGGGGGGGGGTCTTGACATTCCCGGCACTTTTCCCACCCCCTCCCCCACTGCCCATCCTTTTTCCTCCCCAAAATTCCCAAATAAATTAACAATTAAAAAGGTCGAGGAGGGGGTTGAGCGACCCCTCCCCCCCCGTCATCCCAAAAAAAAATCCACCTGGAGGATCCCAAACTTTCCCCCCATCCCTTCCCCCTCACCCTCTTTTCCCAAGCTCTGGAATTGTCCAGCCCCTCCCCCACCACGAGGCTTTTTTTAAAATTTTTTTAATTATATTTTTTCTAAAAAGTTTTTTTTTAGTTTTTTTAACTTTTTTTGCTGTTTTTTTTCCTAAAAACTCTCCCTCCAACCCTCCCCCAAAAAAACCCCAACTTTTCCCTCCCCTTTTTTTTGTTGGAAAAAATTCCAAGCCGGAAAAAAAAAAACAAAACAAACAAAAAAAAATCACCCAAAAAAAAAAAAAAAAAAAAAAAAGAAAAAACCAAAACAAAACAAAAAACCAACAAAAAGCCCAAAAACAAACAGTAAAATTCCGCTGGAGGAGGAAAACGGGATAATCCCAAAATTCCCAACCTCATCCCATGGGATCCTCCCCCCTCTTCTCCTGCATTCCCAAAGTCCGTCGGTGCTGGAGGGGGGGGTGGGAGTCACCCCAAAATCCAGGGGGGGAGACTCGGGTCCGGTCCTGCGGAGCCCGGGAATTCCTGGGAATCCCTGGGAATTCCCAACTAACCGGAATCCGAGTCGCTGGTGTCGGAGGAGGAGGAGGAGGAGCTGGAGCTGCTGGAATCGGAGCTGGAGCTGGAAGCGGAAAGTCGGGAAGCTGCCACTTGTTGGGCGGATTCCGGCTTCTCATTGGCTGCGGGGGGGGAAATCGGGAATGAGCGGCAGGATACAGCGGGATCGGCACCCGGGAAACCCATCCTAACCCCCATCCCAACATCCCAGACCTCCATCCCGGTGCCCATTCCCAAAATTCCAGACCTTTCTTGGGGGGTTTCTTGGCCGAGTTTAGCTCTGACATCCCACCTCGACCCCCATCCCAACACTCCAAACCCCATCCCAGCCCCAAATCCCAACACGCCAACGTCCCAGACCCCCATCCCAAGATCCCAATGCCCCTTCCCAAGATTCCAGACCCTTCTTGGGGGGTTTCTTGGCCGAGTTCAGCTGCCCACTGACGTCCTGGAGCCGCTTTTCCAGCTCCCTCTTCTTCTCCAGCGCCAGCTCCTCTTTCGTCTTCCCCACCGGCTTCTTCATGGCTACAAAAAGAACCCCAGGAAAATCCCACTGGATCCACACCACTCCTCTGCCCCCCCAGATCCCTGGCACTCTCCCAACTCACTCTCGCTGTAGGGTTTCCGGGGTTTTTTCCGGAGGCAGGACAGGACATAACGCTCCAGCTCCCTCAGTGTGGAGGGTTTGAGGGTCTCGAAGTCGATCTCAATTTCCTCGGGATTGGAATCCCGCAGGGAAGGCTCCCGGGACTGGATGATGTGCACCACCCTTCCCAGTTTTTCCCCGGGAAGTTTGTTGATGTCCAGGCTCAGCTGGCGCTTCTCGTCGTAGGTCATGGGTTTGGATTCCTCCTCCTCCTCGGAATCGTAGAGCGATGGAGGGGCTGGCAGGGCAGGTTTGGCGGATTTCTTGGAATTCCTGGTGGGAAGAAGCACCCGGGGCTCCGTTGGCGTGGGCCCTGCTGGGGTTTTGTGGTTCCCAGGGAGTCTGGGGTGGTCCCACATGGATTTTGGAGCCCCATCCCCACATCCAAACCCCTATTCCAGCATCCAGAACCCCCATCCCTACCTCCTGAACTCTCATCCCCACCTCCAAAACCTTCATCCCAACATCCAGAACCCAACATCCTGAACCCCATCCCAATGTCCAGATCCCCCATTCCAGCACCCTCAACCCCCATCCCAACATCTGGAAATCCCATCCTGGCTCCTAGAACTCCCATCCCAACGCGCAGCACCCCAATCCCAACATCTGGAGCTCCTTCCCAGCACCATGAACTCCCATCCCAGCTCCCAAAATTCCTATCCCAACACCATGAACCCCATCCCAGTGTCCAGCACCTCCATCCTGCCTCCCCAAATCCCCATCCCGACACCCCGAACCCCCATCCCAACTCCCAGAACCCTTTGCCCCACCCTCCCCGGGCCTCCTTCCCACCATTCCTGACATCCCCTCACTTGGAGCCGCCGCCGCCTCCGGCTTTCCGGGCCCTCCGGAGCTGCGCCTGCCTCGCCCTCGTCTCCTCGTCCCTCCCTTTGTGCTTCTCTGACTTCTTTCTCTTCCTCTTCTCCCGCTTTTTCTTGGGTTTGGACACGGGGCCCTGCGAGAGGGCAGCCAGCTGCTCGTGCACGGCCCGCAGCTGTAGGGGGGAGGAGACACCGGGGGGGGGTCAGGGAGCTGATCCCGAGGGAATTCTGGCCGCGGGTCGTTCCCTGGGACGGCCCCTCACCTGCTCCTGCAGCTCCGCCAGCCGGTTGGCTCGTTCCTCCTCGGAATCCGAGCTCTCCTCGCTCTCCGAGGAGCTTTCCGTGCTGGTCTCGTCGTCCTCGTCGTCTTCATCGTCCTCGTCCTCGTCGTCCTCGTCGCTGGAAGATTCCTCGGAGGAGGATTTGGGAACGGGCAGCGGGGTGGACACGGAGGGAGCTCCGGCATCCTGCGGCTCGTCCGGCATTTTGGCGTAGCTGAACTCGAACACGTCCTGGAAGAAAAAGGGGAAATTCGGGATCGGGGTGGGAGTTCGCGGGGGG